CTCTCTCTCTCTCTCTCTCTCTCTCTCTCTCTCTCTCTCTCTCTCTCTCTCTCTCCACTCCCTGCACATCAGAATATAGCTCTCAGTTACTGCTCAAGTAATATGCCTGCCAGCTAAACAAGCCCCTCTGAAACTGTAAGCAAGTCCCCAGTTAAAGGCTTTCTTTTATAAGAGTTGCCTTGATCATAGTATCTTCACAACAATAGAATAGTAACAAAGACTGCCTGGGGCTATTGTGTGACTCGTCCTGAGCAGGCCTGAACCTCATTGAGCCAGTTCCTCAACAGGGTCTGCTGGTGGAAGACAGAAGCCAACAAAGCCTTCATAAGACGCTGCCAGGCTTTTGTCTCATGAAGCACTACTAATAAAAACTCAGAGACAGATATTGGGATTCAACACGAAGACCAAAAAAGCAAAACAGCCAGTCATTGACTCTTACCTTGACCCCAGTCTGAAAGTGGTGATCCTGCCCCCAGGAATCTCAGAACAAGACTGAGGCTGAGAGCGGTCTCCTCCCGTTTTATAATCTTCTCTAATTCTGGGATTAAAGGTGTACACCACTGGGATCAAGGACATGCACCGCATAGTTTATTGGCAAACTAGTGTGGCTACTGGGATTAAAGGTGTGTGTCACCTCTGCCTGGCCTGTAAGACAGACCAATGGGGCTGTTTTACTCTCTGATCTTCAGGCAAGCTTTATGTATTAAAATACAATTGAAATGCCACTACAGTCATGTCAGGAAAGTGAGGAAGAAGCTGACCATTTTGGAAATCCATCGCCTTTACTACCTAGCCATGGCTCCTCTCCCTGTCTGTCTGCCTACTAGGGAGTCTGTCTACCTCCTAGTCTCTCAGGACAAATCCAGGTGGATCCCAAGGACTCTTCTGTCTGCCACTGGCTGAAATGGTGAATTCCATGTTCAGTGAGAGGCTATCTCTCAAAAAGTAGGTGGACAGTAATAGAGGGAGTCACCTGACCTTTGCCATCCACTTGTCTATGTGTGCATACACCATCCTCACCCCATAATCCAGGAGAAATTAGAAAGGAAAAGAGCAATTACTAATTAATGTTAAAAATCCCGCTGAACAAAATTTGATTAGGCTTAGGACCTGGGAGTCAGCCTTTGTGGCTCCCTGCTCTGGTTTCTGGGTCATCCTTGTCTTCATAAAAGGAAATTGGGCAGCCTCTTACCCAAAGTTTGAAGGGATCTGTCATTTTGTGACCATTCTGTTCTTTTCAGTCTGGACTGGAATTGTTTCTGCTGATATAAACCCCTCTGGAATCTTTCCATTCTTGGAAGTCAAGAGTCATTCCATTAGATAAGCAGATCTGGTGCAAGAGAATTGTCTGTATTCTGTCAATCATGTTTTAAATAAACACTGATTGGCCAGGCAGGAAGTATAGGTGGGAAAACCAGACAGGAAGTAGAAATGATGTAATGAGAACAGGAGAATTCTGGGAAGGAGGAAGTTGATTCCCCCCCACTCCTACCCAGACTCCGAAGAAGCAAGATGTGAGTTGCCCTGCTGAAAAAGGTACTGAGTCATATGGCAAAAATAGATCAGAATAATGGGTTAATATAAGCTATAAGAGCTAATAAGTAGCCTAAGCTAATGGGCCAATCAGCTTTATAACTTATAGAGATCTCTGTGTGATTTTCTTTGGGGCTAAACAGCTGTGGGAACCAGGCAGGACAGAAACCCCCAACAAGCCAGCCCTTCATGTTACACAGAGCCTTCAAGGACTCTTAACAGTCAACCCCAAGTCTGTTGTTTGTTTCTGCTAACATGGTGGACAGGGTTTACAAGCCACAATGTTATTACCCTGAAAATCTCCTGTATGTGAACAATCTATCTTGATCATATCCACCTGCATCCCCTCCCTCAAATTCCCTCCCCGTGCTCCCCCACCAGATCTCTCACCCAACTTCATGACTTCTCTCTCTCTCCTCTTCTCTCCCCTTAACATAGAAAGTTCAAATTAGTGCCGTTTATATTCACATAGATACATAGCTATAGGGCCACCCACTGGAGCATGGGCAGCCTACCAGTGTGCACCTCCCAGAGAAAAGTGACTCTCCCTTCTCCCCAGTCATCAACTGCCACTAATTCCTCCACTAGGGATGGGACCTTAGGAGCTCCTCCTCATCCATCCTAGAACTTTTATCCTGTTTGATTTTGTGCAGGTAAGCACAGCAGCTGTGAGTTTATGAGTGTAACAGTCATGTCATGACATCCTACCCATTCTCTAGATGACCCACTTTCTTAGTATCTACATGTGTGTGTGTGTAAAACAGAAAATACTATTGTTATTATTAGATAAATAAAATGTTTTAAACAAGCAAAATACATAATAATGTGCTTTTTTAATTATCTCTTCTTTAGAAATACTTAATTGATTTTAGGTGGCCAGGTATCTAAAAGACAAGTCACCATGAACACAGAAAGCAGATGGCATTGCCAAAGGATTATGATGAACTTATTCTATTTAAGCATAGAAAGGGCAAGCATATACCATTATCTACAGTACAGACACTTTACAGTGGCAATATATTATATATAAATTATACAATAGTTTTTATTGTTTTGTTTCTCCTGAGTCAGTCTGACTACACAGCTTAGGCTGGGCTTGAATTTATAATCCTCCATCTTCAGCCTATTGGGATTAAAGGCAGACACCAGCACATACACCTAGCTTTATCATACCTCCTATCACTATGTTGGAGTGATACACTTACAGGGAAATAATTTCCTGCAAACAGTGTGCCACGCTATAACAGCAGCAGCCTGGCATAGCTTGAGCTCACCATGCCTCTTGATTGCACCAAGGCCACATCTAGCAATTGTCTTATGCCTTGTGGGTTTGCAGCACTCTGTGATGTCCACACAATGACAATGTCGCCTACTGTGATGGTTAAAACAGGTCATCGCTGTTACAAGAACTGGGGTCATCCAGAAGGTGAGCCAGAGGGCGTGCCTGTCAGGGGTTATCTTAAATAGGTTAACTCAGACAGAAAGCCCCGCCTTAACTGTGGGTGGCACCTCTCCACGTGCTGAGGTATCAGTCTGAATAAACAACAGAAAGTGAGCTGAGCACCAGCATTCATTGTATCCTGGACTAGACTGCAGTGTGACCAGCTGCTTCAAGCTCCTGCTGCCGTGATTGCCTCATCGTGCTAAACGGTACCCTTGAACTGTGAGCAAGAACAAACCCTTTTGGTCATAAGTTCCAACGCATTTTATCGCAGAAATAAGACAAGGGACTAATGGTTTGCCAGTGTGGGGCTCAGATGCACCCCTGTTGTTAAACAACACAGCTGCACGTGACTCTTAGAAATAGTGAATCTAGAAAGACCCTACAAATACCAAGACGCGGACAGAAAAAGCTCGATGTAGCTGTGTTTGTGGTTGGTTGTTTTGTTTGTTTGTTTGTTTGTTTGTTTGTCTGTCAGGATAGGGTTTCTCTGTGTAGTCCTAGCTGTCCTGGAACTAGCTCTGCAGGCCAGGCTGGCCTCTAACTCAGAGATCCACCTTCCTCTGCCTCCAAGAGCTGGGATTAAAAACGTGCACCACAACCAGGCTTGTGTTTGTGGATGTATTGCTTGTTTTCAGGACCAGGGTTGAACTGAGTTTTCTAGTTCCACAAAGACTAAATGAGTTTGGAGAGGTTTGGTTTTTGGAGGGTTTGAACATTCGAGACAGAATCTTACCATGTAGTACAAGCTGGCCTCAAATTTGTGTTAATCCCCTGGCCTCTGCCTCCTAAGTGTGAGGGTTATAAATGCCCAGCTAAACTGTTTAAATGAGAATATCTCAGCTCAGGAGAACAATTCCTGCAGACTATCACCTGTTCTAAAGAGCCCTCCAGTTCTCTTTACTTGAAAAGGTTTCAAATGTTCAGAATGGTAAGGTTTTTTTTTTCCAAAAAGGGGGTGAACTCTAATGAAGACATATAATTAAAGAGGAGGAGACTGGAACTTGGGAGCCCCTGTCTGTCCAGGCAAATGAATAGGGGGAGCATTTAGCAATGTAAAGTAAGATCTTGAAATTAAAGTCATACAGTTGGCAATATTACAGATGTGCCCCCCTGATGCCTCTAAAGGATGCTCTCTGAGAAATCAAACTGCACCAACAGCTTCACAAGTTTTGCAGTCTTAAATATCACTTGTTTAAAGGAATAGTCCTCAAACTCCCGCATCTAAGGTGTTAATTTACTCTGAGTTTGAAATCAGCTAAAAGGCTATAAATTGATCTTTCAAAGTAATGGGGGTGGCAGGCAGTGTCCTCCCAAAGTTCCCGGCATTGCCAGGAAGCCTGCTTACAAGGAAGGGAGCGCTCTTGGGAAAATGTGGTATTGTTGCTTCTGTAAAGAGAGGAATGAAGTTTTTCCACAAGCAGTTGTAGGATGCTCAGTACAAAAGGTGATGACTACTGCCCTGATGCCCACCCAGAGCATACTCCAGCCGATGCAGGAGATTTAGGACTTTCCCCAAATCTAAACTAGGGCACAAAAACATAGTGAGAAGAGATTTTATCCAGGGCAAATTTGAAAGTGACAAAGTCACTGAAATTTGAGTCCAACACAGAAACAGATTTATGTCAAGACCGAATTTTACAAAGGACTTTAGGGATCAGTAAGGTGGGGGAAGACTTGGACAAGAAAATGAGGACTTTTATTTTGACTTTGAAGCCAAACTGCATTCTTTACCAGGGAGCAGTTGTTCAGAGGGAGCTGGGTGCTGGGCCGTCAACCAGGAATGTCATTTACTTGTATTCCATACACAACAACCAACAACAAAAAGCTCCCCAAGTTTCCCTCCCCCTTGGTACCTACTCTCTCCAGGTGATGGGAAGCAAACACAGGCAGCTACCCACACGTACGGAGAGCCATGCCTGCCAGAGGACCCTGCTCTAGAAGGTCCTAGAGTGCAGAGGTCGAGGCATTTCAAGCTGCCATACTCCAGAAGACTGGACCTTTCTGGAAAAGGGGGGCTCCGGGTACTTCAGTGTGTACTGAATCTCTATTTTCAGAAATGTGAAGGCTGCTTTCTGCAAAATCCTCTACCAACAACTTCAGTGTAAATGGAAACTTGAGTTTCTTTCATTGAGTTCGTGAACAGTCTATGTATTCATTTTCCACAAGATGTACAGTTTAGCTGTTTTGTCTTTTTTGTTGTTGTTTTGTTTGTTTTTGCTTGTTTGTTTTCTTGATTTTTATTGAGCTCTACATTTTTCTCTGCTTCCCTCCCTGCCTCTCCCCTCCCCTTCAATCCTCTCCCAAGGTCCCCATGTTCCCAATTTACTCAGGAGATCTTGTCTTTTTCTACTACTCATGTAGATTAGATCCATGCATGTCTCTCTTAGGGTCCTCATTCTTGTCTAGGCTCTCTGGGATTGTGATTTGTAGGCTGGTTTCCTTTGCTTTATATTTAAAAACCACTTATGAGTGAGTACATATGATAATTGTCTTTCTGGGTCTGGGCTACCTCACTCAATATGATGTTTTCTAGCTCCATCTATTTGCCTGAAAAATTCAAGATGTTGTTATTTTTTCTGCTGTGTTATTTTTTCTCCATTGTGTAAATGTACCACATTTTCCTTATCCATTCTTCAGTTGAGGAGCATTTAAGTTGTTTCCAGGTTCTGGCTATGACAAACAATGCTGCTATAAACATAGTTGAGCACATGTCCTTGTGGCACAATTGAGCATCCTTTGGCTATATACCCAAAAGTGGTATTACTGGGTCTTGAGGAAGGTTGTTTCCTAATTTTCTGAGAAATCGCCACACTGACAGCCAAAGGGGCTGTACAAGTTTGCACTCCCACCAGCAATGCAGGAGTGTTTCCATTACCCCACAACCTCTCCAGCATAAGTTGNTTTCTTTCATTCATTTTTTTTTTTTTTTTTTTTTTTTTTTTGGTTTTTCGAGACAGGGTTTCTCTGTGGCTTTGGAGCCTGTCCTGGAACTAGCTCTGTAGACCAGGTTGGTCTCGAACTCGCAGAGATCCACCTGCCTCTGCCTCCAGAGTGCTGGGATTAAAGGCGTGCACCACCATCGCCCGGCTCATCAATGTTTTTGATCTTGGCCATTCTTATAGGTGTTAGATGGAATCTCAGAGTTGTTTTGATTTGCATTTCTCTGATGACTAAGGATGTTAAGAATTTCCTTAAGTGTCTTTCAGCCATTTTAGACTCTTCTGTTGAGAGTTCTCTGTTTAGGTCTGTACTCAATTTTTTTATTGAATTATTTGTTCTTTTGATGACCAATTTCTTGAGTTCTTTGTATATTTTTGAGATCAGACCTCTGTCTGATGTGGGGTTGGTGAAGATTTTTTCCCATTCTGTAGATTGCCATTTTGTCTTGTTGACCGTGTCCTTTGCTTTACAGAAGCTTTTCAGTTTCAGGAGGTCCCATTTATTAATTGTTTTTCTCAGTATGTGCTACTGAGGTTGTATTTAGGAAGTGGTCTCCTGTGCTAATGCATTCAAGTGCACTTCCCACTTTCTCTTCTATGAGGTTCAGTGTGGCTGGCTTTATGTTAAGGTCTTTGATCCATTTGGACTTGACTTTTGTTCCTTTTGACAGATATGGATCTATTTTCATTCTTCTACATGTTAATATCCAGTTACGCCAACACCACTTGTTAAATATGCTTTCTTTTTTTCATTTGATATATTTTGCTTCTTTGTCAAAAATCAGGTGTTTGAAGGTGTTTGAATTAATATCTGGGTCTTTAATTTGGTACCATTGGTCCTCTTGTCTGTTTTTATGCCAACACCAGACTGTTTTCAGTACTGTAACTCTGTAGTAGAGTTTGAAGTCAGGAATTGTGATGCCTCCAGAAGTTCTTTTACTGTACAAGATTGTTTTGGTTATCCTGGGTTTTTGCTTTTCCATACAAAGTTGAGTGCCATTCTTTCAAGGTCTGTGAAGAATTGTGCTGGGATTTTGATGGGTATTACATTGAATCTGTAGGTTGCTTTTGATAAGATTGCCATTTTTACTATGTTAATTCTACCTACCCAAGAGCATAGGAGATCTTTCCACTTTCTGGTGTCTTCTTCAACTTCTTTCTTCAAAGATTTAAAGTTCTTGTCATACAAGTCTTCCGCTTGTTTGGTTAGAGTTACTCTGATCACTGTTAGTCATCATTGTTTGACATCCCCTCTGCCATACTTTCACCTCCGACAACTCTGTTCCACTTCCTCCCCCTGACCCTGCTTTGCTCTTCCAGACTCCTATGCACAACTGGAAACCTTGAGCACCCGTCGCTCATGCCCACACCCACATTTACCAGCTCATGGAAGAGCTTCACTTCCACACAAGACCAGCCTTGAATTCTTTTCCCATTCTATCCACACCCACTGGGAGACTCAGTCCTGTGCTTACACAGTCAGAATTTTCAGGGTGCCTGTTGGCCTTGCCCACCCACCCTGCCATCTTCTTCTGTAGGATTATGTCTGAATTTCTTTCTTTTCATCTCTAGCATCCACTCAACTATATACAACACAATAGGCACACAACATTTGTCAAAGCACATGAAGAGGGAAGGAAGGGGAGAGAAGGGAGAGAGAAAGGAAAAAACACGTATGGTAGAAAAAAAAAACCCTATTTTTTCAAATACAATAGCCTGGCTAACTAAGATGAAAAGAAAACATAAATATTTTGTTTGGGTTAAAATAAAAAAAATAGAATTAATTTACTTTTTTTTTTTTTCGAGACAGAATTTCTCTGTGTAGCCCTGGCTGTCCTGGAACTCACTCTGCAGACCAGGCTGACCTAGAACTCACAGAAATCTACCTGCTTCTGTTTCCCAAGTGCCCAATTTTGATTTGCTATCATGGGAGAACAGCCTATAGCAGGAACTAATCATCAACAGAGAGGGACAGGACAGGGGTTTTCATTGCAGTGGCCCCTGCCTCACGGAGAACATGGACTTGTCCAGGGAGGAAAGTGTGTGTTTGTCCCCTTTGTGGCATGGTCCTTGCTGTGCTTTCATCAGGGAGGGAAGACAGACGTGCGTTCCTGGGGTGACGCCTCTGTAGGACGGTCCTTTCATCTTAGAGCACGCAGCACAGAGAATGCTGCTTTAATCTATGGAACACAGTTCGTTTCGGGCCCTGCAGTCTGCTCAGCTGTTAATCTGGTGTATCATTCTATAAACAGTAGGGAGACGTTCATTAGAGAAAATTATCCACACTCCTGGGCCTAGTGTTTCTCTATCCCCATTGTGCAATACTAATAAAAATAAGCTCCTGGGGTTGACTCAAACCCAAGCGTGATGAAAAGCCTCATTGCTCAGAATAAAGAAATCTTTTTACAACAACATCATCAGGTTTCTACGATGCGCATGTGCACTGCTGAGGACCAGGCTCTGTAGCCGGGCTGAGGACGAGTCTCTGTGGTGTATATCAGAAAAGGGGGGGGGGGGGTCTTTAAAAATTTTAGGGATATCACAAAAAAAAACTTTTTTAAAAAGTAAAAAATAATGTCTGTTTGAGCTGGGCAGTGGTGGCACACACCTTTAATCCCAGCACTTGGGAGGCAGAGACAGGTGGATCTCTGTGAATTTGAGGCCAGCCTGGTCTACAGAGCGAGTTCCAGGACGGACTCCAAAGCTACACAGAGAAGCTCTGTCTCAAAAAAACAAAAGAAAAAACATTGTCTTTTACGTTATTCTTTACCATAGGTGGGAAATACAAAGCTATTTAAGATTCTCTGACCAGGCTGGGAGAGATGAAGGCCAAGTGAACAGAGTAGGACCTGGTGGTGATGCTTCAAGGAGAATATTTCAGCAGTCTGGGAGCCCAGATGCTCTTGGGTGAGTATTTGAGAGCCGGGAGAGCCACAATAGACCAGTGACCAGTGTGACTAGGTGTACGCATGTGCAAGAAAGTGGAGGGGGGGTGGGGAGAAGGTAGGAGGAGCCACAGCTTCTCAGGGTGATGGACAGGAAGCAAATCACGAGGAACCACCCTGCGGTCCTAGGAACCATCTCCCACTACCGGAGAGAATCGACTGATTGGGGTGGGGGGGGGAGAAGTCTGGGCTCACGGTTTAGGGACCTCAGTCCAGTCCTGTGGATTTGGGCCAGTGGCAGCATATCCTAGCCGAGATGTGTGCCGTACAAAAGTGCTCACTTTGTGACCAGGAAGCAGAAGAGAAGAAAGGGCCTGGGGACCCATAATCCCCTTCAAGGGCATGACCTCCACGATCTCTGAATTCATTCGTTACTTTGCTCATTATTATGACAACGCCTGATGCTTGACGAAAAGCAGCTTAGGTGGGGAAGGGTCGGCAGAGGAGGTGTGGGATCAGGGAAGTGAGGAAGCTGGTCATATGATGTCCTCAGCGGGGGAGGGGGGACAGAGGGAGGACAGTAAGTGGGGCTAAGCTGTAAAAACCTCCGTGCCCTCCCACAGTGATCCACTTTCTCCAGGAGAATGCTACCACGGTGCCACACCTCTCCAGAATAGCACGACTGGGGCAACCAAATGCATGGACCTCAGAGGGGCTGTTCACTTTCCGAGCACTCCCTCCACTTTAGGGAGTATGTGTGTGTGTGTGGTGTGTATATGGTGTTTGTGGTGTGTATATGGTGTGCGTGTGTGTGTGGTGTGGTGTGTGTGTATGGTGTGTCTGTGGTGTGTATATGGTGTGTGTGTGTATGGTGTGTGTGTATGGCGTGTATGTGGTGTGTGTGTGGTGTATGTGTGGTGTGGTGTGTATGTGTGGTGTGGTGTGTGTAGTGTGTGTATGTGGTGTGTGTGTGGTGTGTGTGTGGTGTGGTGTGTATGTGTGGTGTGGTGTGTGTAGTGTGTGTATGTGGTGTGTGTGTGTGTGTGTGTTTCTGCGGTGCTGGGGGTTGAACCCATAACCTGTGTAAGTCAAGCACAGACTGTACCACTGATCCACACCCCCATCTTAGATCCCTGCTCTTAAGAGTTCTATTGCCTTCCAGTGGCAACTTTAACACAGAGACCACTGGAAGCAGTTATTATAGCAACTTGTATCCTCTGCCGTAGAAGGCAGTTATTACATCAGCTTGAATCCTATGCCATAGATGAACCCCTGAAGTTAAATAGATGTGTTCTGAAGAGAATATCTGTAGCATAATATGGAAGAGAGTTGAAGGCAAGGTGTGATGGTGGCTGTAAGGAGACAGACACATGGGACAGTGACCGTGGCTCTTCTGAGGGGCGGGGACGGGGGGGGGGTGGCACGTGCCAGGCTGACAGGTAGATGGTGCCAGTCAGGGAACTAGGAACAGAGAAAGAGAAGGCTCAAGAGAATGGGCTCAACTTTGGAAACATTGGGTTTGTGATACCTGTGGAGTACCCAGGTGAACCGAAAATAAACAGACCTGTGATAACTACCACCCGTACCCAGATGGTCTCCCCCACTTAGCCCTCCCAAAGGGTTCTAACACCTGCCCTTGAGAGAGCGAGAGCGAGAGCGAGAGCGAGAGCGAGAGCGAGAGCGAGAGCGAGAGCGAGAGAGAGAGAGAGAGAGAGAGAGAGAGAGAGAGAGAGAGGAGACACTGCAAAGGGAGGAGTCCCTAGTCCATGATTACATGAGCCCAGCTAATAGCAGGGGCCCTAAAGTCATGAAGCCTCAGGCAAAGAATGCTGTTGCTGCTGGTAGCAGGTATTCACAAGTCATATCACCCCGATTTCCATAATAAACCGGAGGTGTGAACATCTGCAGGCCAATAAAACATTTTGAAGCCTCGAGGATTAGTGCAGCTTATGATTTTGGATGAACGCCATTCAGAGGGAGCTTCCTACATAAAGCTGTTATTATCGTGATGAGTGCTTCACACTTGGAGCCGTGTACAGCATTAGGAATGTTTAGCCAAATGGAAGGAGGTGATTAGCTGACTCTAACAACTTCTGAGGAACAAGAGAGTTTTAGCTGTGCTCGTCTTTTTTATATTTTCCCACCACCACTCCCAAGTCAAAGCAAACGTGGAATAAGGAAATGTTAAAAAAAAAAACAAAAAATTGCAAGTTGGTTGAATCATAGTATTTTAAAACTTCTTGATCATATATGGAAAGGCTTTCATGGGGTCTTCTGACATAATCCATCAGCTGCCTTTCTCTGTGTGCAACAAAACACTTAACAACAGCAGCTGAAGGAGAAAGGGTGGGTAGTGGGTCACAGTGAGAGGCGCATCCAACCTGGCAGGGAAGGCGTGTTGGGGAGAGTGGGTTTGGCTGCGGCACCAGGAAAGTGAGGCAGCCGGTCAGATTACATGTGCAGTCGAGAAGTAGAAAAACATGAAGGCTGGCACTCAGCTCGCTTCCTTCTTCCTCTTGTATTCAGCCCGCTCCCCACCCGGGCCTATATTTAGGATAAATTTTCCCTCCTGAAGAAGTCCTCACAGACAAGGCCCAGAGATGGCACCTCCCAGGTGACTCCAAATTCAGTAAACTTTATAATGAACATTAACTCCCACAAATGCTTCGTTGGAGTTAACTTATAAGTAAATGATCTCTCATAAAGGCACGCTGGCGCGACCATTCTTATGAGGAAATGACACGGAAGACAGAATCTTTTGAAAGAAGCCCTGGACCCCTTCCTACCCCTTCCCACTTCTCCTTTGTAGCCTTTCCCTCAGAAAAGCATGAGATGAATGCTCTGCCGTGTGAACACCAGCTAATAAACAAGTTATTTTAACCCGTGTTCCCAAGTCATTCCCCCTCAAACACGCATCAGGACTGCGTGTACAGGAAAATGAGAAACCGCTATGCCGTGGCCCGGGTGTGAATCTGTATCCATCCGCAAGCCCCCAGACTTAGGTCACTCAGGGAAACTGAGTAAGCCCCACTTACTTCGTGTGTGTAATACCTCCCCCTGAGGGGCTTAGGAATAGTAAATGAATTGCTATTCAAAAAGCCTTTGGACCTGGCACCCAAAACACCCTGGGGTTTCACTTGAGCAGAGTCGCGAACAGGATCTGCTGCAGAATTGAGTTCGTCCGTGCATACGACCATAACTGATCTGCAAGTGCAGGGTGATGGGTCGTTTTACTGTTTCTCTCTTTCCACCAGCTACAAGTCCATAGATGAATGGGTTTATAAGGGCCAAATCCTCCTCACCAAGCCTTTTCCTAAGGGCTGGGATCTAACGCCCACTTAAGGAAGGAGAGCCGGCCTCCCACTTAGGGCAGCGCCACCTTCCAGCCCCCAGGGTTTTCCGTGTCGGAAATGTCCCTTTCAGAAAGGAACGACTTTCTAAGCCTGTTGAGCCGATTTCAACTGTTCTGCCATTTGCGGGGGTGGGGGAGCTTTTACAGTCTGACACCAGTTCTTTGCAGCTGCTAATAACTGAGGGGGGTTCGCCGAGTCGCTGCTGCTGAGGTCGCAAGGTCACCGCGTGATTTTTTTTCTTTTTTCCTTATAAGGAAATCTTTAAAACTTTCTTCAGATGTTGAACCAAAAATAGTGACAAGAAGAAAGGGTTGCCAAGCATGCCCCCCCCAACACACACACACACACACACACACACACAGAGAGAGAGAGAGAGAGAGAGAGAGAGAGAGAGAGAGAGAGAGAGAGAGAGAGAGAGAGAGAGGCTTTATTTCGGAGCAGTTTTGCATGTTCCTCTCACTCGACACTGTTTACTCCCAGCGGTGATTCATGCGGTATTTACAGCGCGGCTCTGCGGATATGTTCTTTTTAAGTGCACCGGTGCCTAGTGGTCTCTTCCCTCCACTTTCACGTCGACTCACCTCCTTCTGACTCTGCCAAGTTTCACAGGATTCTCATCAGCAGGGAAAAAACACCAGCAACCCGAAGTAGAAAGCAGAGTTCAGTTAGGGATCACGCTGACTTGAAGCCTAGGGAAAGTCACCGACTCTTCCTTGGTCTTCATTTAGGACATGTGGGTGATGGTACCTATGTTTTCCCTTTCCTCTTCACCGAGCTGCTGAGGTCAAGCTGAGTAATGACGTAGAAAATACCCAAAGCTCATAGTCAGTACTGGCCAGTAATCCCATCCCTCTAGAGAAGGGGCAGGAGGGTTGTGAGTTCAAGACTAGACTGGGCTGCGCAGCAAGATCTTGTGGCAAACCCCTGTTGTCCCCCCCCCAAAAAATAAATTACACTTATGCTTTATGCATTTCCCATTTATATATTGGAGCTCACAATAAAAAGGCTAAAAAAATTGTACCTGAAAAAATACAATTAGATGGTAATTATAAGTAATTGAATATGCCTTATTTAAATGTTGCTATCTAATTTAAAATTTAAAAATACCTTTTAATATTTTATAAATGTATATTTATATATAGACATATATTATATATACACTGTGCAATACATTTATTAGGCTAGCATACTAGATATAGTAAAGCTATAACTGCTTTTGTTGTGTTGTGTTGTGTTGTGTTGTGTTGTGTTGTGTTGTGTTTGTTGAGACACAGTCTCTCTACTTTGTAGTTCTGGCTGCCCTGGATTTCACTTTGCAAACCAGGCTGGCCTCAAACTCACAGAGCTGCTCCTGCCTTTGCCTCCCTAGTGCTGGGATTAAAGACCCGTGCCACTATGCCTGACTTCATGCTCTAACACTTCTGATTTTAGCATCTGAATTTCAGAAGGCAGTTTCATCCTAAGAATGACATTTTTGCATCTTTCACTCATTTATACTATTTCTTTGATTTCTACAGTTTATCAAGAATGATGAACAGGTACAGTCAAGCGCAGGTTTTGCAGGAACTCTGTCCTGTCCTGTTTCACAGAAACTGTCTTGTAGACAGCACACTGATTTTCAGCTGCAGGATATTTCCTACTTACCCTTGGAACAAGTCGTAACTGTCTGTGTTCTAGGCGTCTATGTAAGTGGAAGAAATAGAAGGCAACAGATTAGTGATGACGGAGTCAACATACAAATGCTGGACCTCCTAACTGTGGATGTCGTGTTTGTGAAAGAATCAAACTGTTATATTATTCACCTTTATTAGCTTCAATAAAAGAAGAATCCCCACTATTCATAATTCAACTAATTCTGCTTGAAAATCATCTATCTATGACTTAAGGACATCCCTCAAGGCAAGTCTGAGTCTTCTAAAGTAAAACCCAAAGAAACATCACGCATGTGACGGTTGGAATCTGGTGTGTCTCAGAGACTCCTGGATTGAAAGTTGGGTCTCAACCGATGGCGCTACTGAGAGACCAAGGGATCAGTCCAGGGTGAGTGGACAGTTGAAGGACTGCCAGGGTTAGGGACAAGATTGAATCAGCAGGCCACTGGAGGCGTGCCTTGAGGAAAGCATCTCCTGCTCAGTGCCTTCCACTCACTGACCTGAAAAGAAGTGTTCCTCAGCCACACCCTTCCTCCATGATGCCCCTGCTTTGTTACAGACTGAAAAGAAATGAAGCCAGCTTTGTCCTGAAACCTGTGAGCAAAATAAAACATACATCCTTCTAAGCCGCTTCCTCTGACCTTTCGGAGCGACAGGACGCTGACTGACAAACACGTTGTTTCATGGATTTGGCAAGTGACTGAGGACTTTGAGGTAACGTGCTGTAACTCCTGATTTTCAGACTTCAGCAACTTTGGCACAAAATAAAGTTTAGGCCATGTCATATGTGTCTTTAAAAGTTGTATGTGAAGTCATGTGGGGCCCCTCAGTTTCATATCACTTGTAAAAGCTATTCCAGTCAGCAAAAGGCCCACACAGGGCCACACAGCAAGGAGAAATTCAGTTCAAGTGCGTCTATACCACATTTGGACCCTGCTAGGACAACGAGATACTCCAGCTGGGTTGACTGGACAGTGCCCTTTTCACAGACACAAGAAACAGTCTCGGGCTGGAGAGATGGCTCAGTGGCTAAGAGCACTGGCTGCTCTTCCAGAGGACCCGGGTTCAGTTCCCAGCACTCACATGGCAACTCACAACTTTCTGTAACTCCAATTCCAGATGATTCAACACCTTTACACAAATATACATGCACACAAAACGCAAATGCATATGGAATAAAAATTAAATTATAAAAAAATGAAAAATGAAATAGTATCCTTAAGAACAGACGGATGGTTCATCTGTGTCACGAGGTCTGTAAAGCTGCCCTGTGCTCTCCAACCCCCCCCCCCCCACGGACCAGGCTTTATAGAACTGCCACCATAGACCGCACAGTAGGCCACTTGGGAGGTCCCCTTCCTGAGGTCACATCTTTAGAGTGGTTCCCTATCTAAGGTCAGCGATTTGGAGGCTGATCTAGGTAGAGGCTGCACTGGCCACCACAGTCCTTGGGGAAGGTTCTCTGTAGCACGTCGGAGGCAGAGGTAGAGGAATTTCAAGTTCAAGGCCAATCTGGATTATAGAGGAGGGGAAAGAAGAGACCCAGACACAGAAGATGAGAAGCCAGAAGAACCTCCGCCCACATGGTAAAAGGCTCCATGCAGGCAAAATGCTAAGCAAATGATTGCTTTACACTCCTTAGCACAAATGAACCCAGAGGGGAGCAGAGAGGCTACCAGAGAGAGAATTTCTGGTTCTAAACTCCTGCCTAGCATGCTCCTGCCCAATGCGTCAAGCACTTTGCAGATTCTGTGGTGTGAGCACCTCCGAGACATACAGTTGGTGCTTAATAAATGGCGTCACAGTGTCACGCTCACTCAGCACTGAGGTTTTTAAGCCCGTAAGTTAGGCACCGCTTGCATGCTTCCCACTGCACTAAGCACTGAGGCAAATGCCCGTGAGGAAGGCTCAGGCTAGCTCCAGGAACTGAGCGTTAGGAGTCTACATTTTGTGTGCTGGGAAAGTGTTAGAGAACGGGCCGCAGATGTATTCTTGGAAAGCTAAGGCAAACGTCCTTCTCAGAAGCAGCTGGATTGTACCTCCTATAGACGGGGAGCCCAGGTCAAGGGGGCAGGGGGCACAGACTTCCTTCTCAAAAGCAGCTGGATTGTACCTCCTATAGACGGGGAGCCCAGGTCAAGGGGGCAGGGGCACAGTGCACACACAACGTAGCAATGACCTTCTAGAAACTCTTGCCAAGCAGACAGGCAGCTGCTCTCTCCCTGTCACAGATAAACAGAGAACAAAACAGGTCAACACTTCCCCAGCTGTGAAGATACAAGGTGGGTCCAGAACCCAACATCTGGCTCCTGATCTGGTCCCTTTGATATGGTGCCTAACCGCCTCCCCAGGACACTGGGGGCAGCCGCTGCCGCCCTGCAGGACTCCGGGTGTTTCTTACTTACTCGCCCAGTGAAAATGAGTCAAGCAATGAGGTTTCTTTAATTTATTGTGTTTTCCCCTTCCATTTTTTATAAATTTCATTTGTGAGGTCAGAGCTCTCTGTAATTCTCCTTTCAAGAATCTTTCCTAAGGAAAGAATCAGCAAGGCTGATTTATGTACAAAAACTCCCATTGCAGAGCTATTTATAATAACCCGAAACAGGGAACAACCTAAATTTTCAACAAAAACAGACTAGTGGGCAGTTGCCAATATCTTTATGTTTTTAATGATGTCTTAAGAAATGCTTATTATTGTCTCATTAGGAAAGAGACAGAGTCAAGATTCTGTGGCGTCTTTCTGTCTATGTACTATGAAAAAGAAAGGACTCTTTAAGGCGGGTATAGTGACCATCTTTGTTCTGTTTGTTTATATTTTCTGCATTTCCCATAATATGACTTTATATCCAGAAATAGCAATCAAAATTGTTTAATGTGTGCATTTCTGAAAAATCACAATGAAATCCATTATTTATGCAACTAACATGTGCAAAAAAGAAAAAGATAAAATCTTAGATTTTTTTTTAAAAACATCGTTTTCTACAGAAATAAACCAGGCACGGTGATACTTGTCTATAATCTCAGCAATTTGGAAACCGAGTGGGTAGAATTATAAATTTGAGGCCAGCCGAACCTGGACTACATAGTGAGACCCTATCTCCTAAAACAAAAACTAAAGTTTAATAAAGTCCTAAAGTCCTCAAGACGGTAATAGTCAGAGACCGGATTCCGATCTTACTCAGGGTTCTCCACAGAAGCCGAACTAACAGGCTGTGGACAAGGGTGGATGAGACGGGTCTTTCTTCCCTTTTTACCAACCCTACTTTCCCAGGAAGCCAGGGGAATGCTTCCTCTTAGGAGGAAGGGGAGAAGTTGTGGGTGGCTGTTCAGGCTGAGGAGTGGAAAAGAATAGGCCCTGGCAGCAGTGGATCGGTGTGCAGACGAGGTTACATCCTCATAACCCCATCCTAAGACGAAGACCTCTTTAAATCAAAGGTGTGTTTGATATGCGCACCTGACCTAGCAAGCCCCTTAGCTGACCCTCATTTATTCAGTCATGCACAGAACACTCCCATTAGCCAGAAGTTTGGCAAAACCACCTCATCTAACACCTACTTTATAATAAGAACTGACTCCCTCAGATTCTTTACTAAGCGACATTGGGTGTAAGCACAATGGCCTGGAGAATATGCTTTCTCATTCTTGGGTACAAAACCCTCCAAAGCAAACTGTCTTAAGTCAAGTACTGTGACCTTAGGGGTCTTCCCTAGGGAAGAACCATCTAGAGATGGGCAGACAAGCCATGGTTAGAAAATACCTGTGCACATCAAACTCCTGTCAGCGTCAGTGACAGGGGTGAGGGAACCAGGCAGCCAGGGACAAGAGGTTCTGGTGAGTGAACTTGTGCCTTTCTAAGCGGCAGAAGGTGAGAACGCAGTCGAGACAGATGGGCATTAGCTTTGGACAGCAGATGAGAAACTTGGTACCACAGAGTCCCAGAAAACTCAGCCGCCAGGAAAGTACAGCTCCCTGGCGGTCGGATGAGACAAAAGCAGCGCGTATTTATGAGACACTCACTGGGTGCCAGGTGCTACTCAAAGACCTTTGTATAAGGAGTCTCATTTAATGCTCTCAGTGTCCCTACTAACTGACTACAGAAATCAACCGTATTTTATAACTTAGGAATCTGATCACAATGATTTGATTAGCCAGATCCTACAGCCAATACTCACCAAAGCACATTCCCACTCACTCATCCGTGTGCTCATGAATTACCAAAGCCGGGTATGTTTCTTTTTTCTTCTACAAAAGGCATCCAGACTTCTTTCCGTTCCTGCTCACAATCTGAAGCAACAGTGTAACCTTTGTCCCTTTTCCATCGCACCCAAATTATTCCAGTTAGAACTCTAACTTGGCCTGGCCCGAGAGCCACAGGCTCAGCAGTTGCCACTTAACTGAGAACTCATTCAATGGCATCCCTGGGACACCTGCTTCACGTCTCAGCCATGCAGGGACAGTATGAAGGGAAGCAGATAATCCCTAGGGACCCAGGACACCAGCTCTGCCACTAACCCACAAGGGAGGTTCCTGGGCACAGAGCTCCCATCAACAGGCCTTGGGCTTGGTGAGACAGCCACGTGTGTTCCAATGGCCTCTTTCCATGAGTGTGAGATGAACCCAGAGAACGTAGTGTACATACTTCCTCGGGAAGAAGACAACAGTTCTGGACGGCTGCTCAGAGTAAAGAACAGCAGAGGCATAGGCTTAGTGGATGTGTTTCACGCCTGGGGGCGGGGACGGGGACGTCTGAAAAGCCTTCTACGACCTCTCACCCTCAGCTAGTGCAACCTGGACCTAGGCACAGCATCTTCCTCGCTGTCGCCCAAGGGCTGAGTTGAGTGGTGAGTGTCGTGAGTGGTGCCCCCTCCAGAACCACAGCTCATCCCATGAGCCGGGGATGCAGAGACCTGGGGAATGCAGAGCGGATGACAAGGTGTGGAGGAGCAACAGAGAGCTAGCACAGCACAAAGTTGCAAGTGGCGACTCTGTCACTCTGTCACCCTGTCACCAAGGGCGTGTAGGAGACATCTCTGAGAAAGTCTCAGTGACATCTGCACAGGGGGGAGTTTCCTGTACTGAAAGAAAACTTGAGACCATTCACTCTTAAGGGCTCCACTGAGCAATGAATGTATCATGAATGCAGAAACACCTGAGAATCATTACCAGCTCAGAGAGCTCCCTGGGCAGGCCGTTTGTGGGTGACAGTCGCAAGTAACCTGATTTGTTACAAACAGGGCACTTGCCTTATTTGGACGTTGTCTGATCAATGGGCCACTATGACTGGAGGAGACACAGCCAATATTAGAAACAAAAATGTCCTTTCTTAGATGTTAAAAGGGGATTCAAGGTATAGAGATAACTTCAGATCAAACATAATCAATGCATCTTTTAAAGTGAAATTTTCCCCTGGGTTATCAAAATAAAGAGATATAATCATGTATCTACCACAGAAATGATAAAAATGGATTTTGGATCTATCAGCCCCAGGCTGCCGATACCAAGTGTCCCGTTGCTGAGCCAGCTACAAGTGACTGTGATGCCCTTGGAAGAGGCCATGAGCTTACAGAGACCTTGGAGCTCCCCAGGCTGCTTCTGTGGAAGCTGATGACACAGAAGGGAAAGAAATGCAGCCTGTCTGCTGTATGCGACTACTCATGGAAACAGGCTGTTCGTGGAAGCACCTTCTTCTCGTCCCCACTGTCCAGCAGAGGCAGTGATTTCAGACACCCCAGCTGGCACTGGAGATGTGGCAGCACCTGGGACT